AGCAATGAAGCGACATTGAAGCTTTTCACTCTAACCAACTTGTATAACTGCACGTGGAGTTGAAACCTTCAAAACACATGATCTCCAACATTGAATTCAATCTTTCTGTGCTTTGAGTCGAAATAGTTCTTCTAAGGATCTTGGGTTGTATGTAGGCAATCTCCAATCTGGCAAACTTTCTCAGCGGCTCAATCAACTAATTGAGATATGCATGTTTGTCTTCATTCTTCATGAACAAAACTAAGCTCCCCATGGTGAAATACTGGGCCGAATATGTCCTGGCGATCTGTTATAGTGCCTTAAAAATTTGGTCCTGAAAGTAATTTTATATTGAGCACGAGCTCGCAATAAGGTAGTATGTCAGGTAAATCTTCAGAAAGTACATAAGCAAATCCTTGAACTACTCGATCATTATCCAAGCTAATATTAGATTTGTTAGAATCTACCACAATAGCTAGATAATCAGCATACCCATAAGAGGTCAACTTACAGGCCTTAATTATTAATATTAAGCAAGAAAGAGCTCCTATAAAAATATTAAAATAAAAAGGAAACTGAACAAGATATACAGAATTTTACCTCTTATAACATTTTATAATAGCATGATATGTAGATAATCATTCTATAACTAAAATCACAACAAGCTAAATCAATAAGAATATAATAAGTGTAGCAGACATGTATTTTGATAATAACAATGTCAAAATCATGAACACGTTAAGTAAAAATCATGAATGAATCATATGACATAGTGATAGATAGATGTGATTGTAACGGAGATATTGATGCACTAGATGCAAACTTGGCTGATATGAATGAATGTTGTCTTGTAGTTAAATAAATTTTTTGTCAATTGCTTAAAATAAAGATAAACTTGTCACCCTTAGAAGCTTCACGGGTATCTTATTGCATCATAACAAATATTTGTGGTGTAGTCGCCTACTTGGGTTGCTTCTAAGCTTGAGGTTGCTAAGATTAAGAATGTGCCATTGTGGGCGTTGATACGTTGATGGCGATTGTTCATGTTGTTGGTATTATAATTCAAGAGGATGTTGTTGATATAGATGCGACACCATCACTAGTTGCGGCTGTTGGTTGAGCTGAAAATAGTATTGACATGTCTGACCTTCATTTTATTTCTAGTGTTCACCATTATTAGATTTATTTCACCCATTCTTATGCCACTTGAAATTATTCTTCTGGTTTATTATAGATTGAGTTTGGGTGTTAAGAGTGGAATCCATGAACTTGTGATTGGTGCTATAGCAGTTGAACCACTTACCGATAGTTAGATTGCAAAATCCACGGCGTCCCTTCACGCAATGAGGGCAATTAGAATTACTCTTCACCTTTTCTACATGGTGTTTAATCATCTTCAGTAGTACCTGATCATCTGTTCCTTCGTTTTGCGGCAGTCTTTTCTTTATAAGCATTAAACTTTACCTCTGCATGTATAACTCGATCCACCAACTCTCTATAGGTAGTACATTTGACAACAGACAAAATTCTCCGGATATCATCTCGTAAGCCGAAAAAATGATAAATCATATGATCCTTGTGCTGGCCAATCGAACGTCAAATTTAACTATCCTTATAAATTTACTCATGAAATGTCTTTAAATCTTGCTCAAGCTTCCTTAAGTCATTCATCGGATTGGCACGATCCACCAAAAGAAAATACTACTCCATAATACATAAATAATTTCTAGAAATCTACCCAAGGAAATATAGTGCCTAGTCCAAAAAAATTGCAGCGATGGCTCTCCCCTAACAAATAGCAATATCCACCTTGCGAACTTCAGGGCACTTTATTCCATGAAGTCATGCATCTGACTCGATCGAGCGCATCATATCATTGAAACTAGGATGTGCGTCTTTAGAAATTGATTCATCACTCGATAAATTATACTCATGCAAGCCATCACAATCGATTGATTAGGTTGAGCTTCCAAGATGGTAATTGATCGTACAGGCCAAGCTGCCCACGGTGCTAGTTATCGTTGAGCTCTATTCCTTTCAATATTAGATGGGCCAATCACATGCAATTTGTGTAACACCTCTAATAGCACACTCAACGCCATTACAATGTACAATTTATGCAGCGTCATATTGATTATTTTCATTATCAAATGAATGTTTTTATCATCCTCTTAACCAAACCATAAAAACAAATAGCTTACAAAGTTTTCTTTCGGCTTGGGGAATATTCCATTACAGCAAAACTGATAAGTTGTAGGTTCTCCTGCCCAAAACCAAAATTTTATAATTATGCTATAATCAACAAATTCCTAAAAAAAATATAGAAATGGGAATATAGAGAGATTAATCAACAATTTCTCAATCCACTAGCCAATTGAAGCACTTACAGTTTTCTCTATTGAATTTCATCTTAGCCAGCCTGACGTGGGTGCGGGAGTTTCCCGCACAAATGCAAAAAACTAGTTAATCGACTGAACTGGCTGGCATAGTGGGCCGGTTCAGGGGACCCGGTCCAGAACTCCAAAGAGAATCGAGCAGCATTAAGGCAAGCGGCATTTGCGCCATCCTTTCGTGTCTCCAACCCGATTCTAGCAACATTTGGAGAGGGCGCCATTGCTGCCCGCCACCTTCTCCTCCTCCCTTTCTCGTTGGCTTTCCTTTCTTATTTCCCTCCTGGGTAAGTCTATTTATATGTTTGTTTTCTAAGTTTATTAGCAGTTTTTGTTGTGTTGATTTCATATTCCTTTGTGGAGTTGTTCTCCCTGTTCTAGGGATCTATCAGAGGAGGTGGTGGTGTTCCAACCGTATCCTCCTATGAGGTAGTGTTGTATCATTCCCTTTCCCCATCCTGTTCCCCAATCCTTCTCCACCCTCTCCTCAGCCGCCGACCTCCACCCCCTTCATTCCTACACCCAGCCAGCCCATACCCGCAGCTTTACCTTGTTGTCCAACCCTCCTCCATTCTTCCCAACACTCCCATTTGACTGCTCCTCACCAAACTTCCGCTGCCTTTGCTATTCAGCACCTTCCAGCCACCAATCTGCTTGTCGCAGGTCACCTACGACCCTCCATACTTGTTGTACTTACAATTTTGCACCTTCCCCTCGCTGCCACCACCCTTACCAACCATCCCGAACCATCTAGCCGACCTCCATCGCCCTTGAAATACACCTTAGAAATGATTGCCCGTGTCATTTATGTTTTGTATTCTAACTTTCTATCGTATTGTGTTGTAACCATCTCTAGATTAATAAGAGTTTGTTTTGAGTATTTCATTGATTTGCCTACTAGTTTTGTTATCATAGTCTCCCAAGTTTTGAGTCTTTCCAGAAATTCCACTCAAGTTGATCCTAATTACTCTTTAACTATGTGAGATCATATGCCCTTCCTCTGCATTCATTAAAATATTTTATAAGGTTTTTCTACCGATCCTTACTGAAATAAGTCACTATTTCTCTTATATAAGAAAAAAGGATAACTTTCATTTCCAATGTTATTGATGCACCGCCTTCCTTTTGTTTCCGCATCAGCTTAACACCCCCCCCAAAACAAAACAAAAAAAAGCGGCAGTATATATAAATAATGTGCTTCTATTAGTATCTCCATGCCATTGAAGTCAATTGGAAAAGTGCCAATGTAAATAACCAAACATACTTAATTGATATAATTTTTTAAAACATTTCTCCCTGTAAAGCCTTTCTTCTGGAGGTTATTCTTTGTGCATTTTCTATTATGTCTTAAGTTAACAGAATCAATTGAAGCTGTGCAAGACTCCTGATGATTATTATTATGAAAATACTAAAAAAGAATGAGTCATGCAAATGCAACAAGCAAACGGCCTTAAATTCAAGAACCCTAAACACTCTTACAGTTGCATGTAAAAATTCTAAAAACTGAAGCCAATTTCCAAAACCACAAGACAGACCAAACTGAAATTTAAAACAAAAACTTCATATATTATAGTACTTGAAACAAAAAAGGAAGCAAATCAACTCAAGCCAGCAAAAACAGCGCTTTCTTTCCATTTAGTCCAAAAATTAGAGAGAAACCAGAGGCAGTAATGCTTTCAAGATCACCACGAAGGCTAAATGAATGCAAGGAGTAAAACTGTACGCTTGTAAGTATAGATTTATAAAAAATTGAATAAAAAACATGAGGCAACTCGCTAGCTAGAAAGTTAGCATCTAGAATGCATATCAAAAAACAAGCAACCTAAGGCTTTTTTAAATATCTGTTTAAACCTAGGAATTTTGGCTTCATAAAGACAACTAACCAGTAAACTTCTAGGAAAGTTACATTTTGCTATAAATAAAAAACATTGTCAAATGTAACCTAAGATAATTTACAAACGTACCACTCAATTCCCACGCATTTACATATCTAACACATAAACTTCTATTTTTACATACATACGACCTTACCTATGCATGAAAAAGTGCATTTCACTTATTAAAAGCTAAAATGGTGGCGTTTTTTTTATGTAAATTGAAAGATTTGAGCGTAAAAAAGAGAACATTAGGTGTTAGATATGTAAAAACATATGATTTGGGTGGTAAGTATGTAAATGCCCCTACAACCTATCATCATTAACATTATCCCAACTGATCCTTTTTATAAATTCTCATATTCCATTTGTTCAAATAAGGAATATCTAAGATTTTAAACCTCTTCTTTGCAAATCAATTTGAATAAATTATGTTTGTGTTATCTTAGACCCACCCTTCTTCATTCATAATCATCTGGCATTAAATTCATCTACTCATATCACAGATAAAATTTCTATCATTTGTTATACCTTTACAAATCATCTGTTTACCTTCAATTACTTCATACTGAACGGACGTTGCTTTAAACGTTCTTACACTATATTTATTCCAAAAACTATCGCTTAAGGCGATGCAAAAACAAAACCTTGGAAATGATTTCCTTTCAATGCCAAACTATCAACGAAACAAGATCTTAGCTTGAAAAGAAACAAGTGGCAGTACAAGCTTCTAAACAAACAGAGATAGCCAGCTTACAGCCTCTCAATCGGTGGCCAGTTTCTTTCTAGCAGCCCTAGCATTATCATACTCAAACTTGAGCACATTTGGTATGTGAGATGTGTCTTTGATGTATAGAAACCGCCCAATCGCGCTCTCCTCGATCGATGGAAAGTAATCCACCAATAGATTGTTAACTATCCAGTACCAAAGCGCGCCGAGGAAGAGTCCGAGGATCGCCCCAGCGAGAACCTGAACAATTCCACCTTAACAAATATGCGAAGCAAATAAGAAAGTATAAATTGGAGCAGAAAAGGAGCGGAGGAGGAAGGTACCTGGGCAATGGTGTGGTATCCCAAGTAAACCCTAGAATAGAGAGTCAATATGGCTGCAGGCCACGGAAACAGGGCTGTTAGAAATCTCGATCGCCGGGAGGAAACGCCTTCCCCGGTACCGCTGAGGCATAAAAGGGAGAAATATGTGGAGAAGAAGAACATGTACTGCGAGTGACTAGATGGCCAGCCGTGTGAATCGCACATCTCTAGGGCGACGCAAGTCTCGGGACGCGACTGCTGCACTGATGACTTGATGAGCTCGTTGAGGAACTGAGAGAATATGAGACCGAGAGAGAAACAGAGACACTGTAACTCTCGCCGGAATAAGAAGTGGGTGACGAAGCCGCCGAGGCTAATGAATACAGGAATCAGCGAAACCCATGCGAGTAAGTGGCCTAGGGAGTCACCCCGATGGTACCGGACATGGGTGAGTGTCACCGCCTTGAGCAGCTGCGGCGTCGATGGTATGGATTCCATTAACTTCAGTCAGCTCTCATCGTCGAAGAGGGAGGAAGGAGATAAGACGAAAAAGATTGAAGCTTCTGGGCTTAAAATGGCTGACCTGCATCAAGTCCTTCAAGGGAAACTGTTTCGGTCCGCCATTGTTGCTTTTCGGAGATCTGCCGTTGGATTCTTCAACGCATGATCTGGCCGCAGGCCGGTTTGTTTATCCTGTCGGGAGGAGCGAATGTTGCTTAAGCTCGACACGTGCGGACCAATATATTAGAAACCATTGGGGCAGCTTTATTTAGAAAAAAGTATTATATAATACTGTTAGGGCTGTTTGTGTAGTCTAATCTCATGGCACTTGAAATATTAATATATCTACATAAAATATAAAAAAATAATGAAAACACATGAACAGATCAAATAAAAATATTCTCCGTATTATTCAGATGTTATTGATGTGTTATTTAGGATATATAAATATTCCTCCACTTAATAACACACTTATAACACATAATAACACAGTTATACACTCAATAGCCCACAGTATAACACGTGGGAATATTTCAAACGTGTTATATCGCAGGCTAGGGGAGAGTTATAGGGCGGCTGTATAACACGTGGGGCGGCGTTATAACCTGCGGTATAACACGCAGAGAATATTCATCACATGTTATATCGCGGGTTAAGGAGTGTTTAATTGTGTTATTAGTGTGTTATAAAACAAAAACAATTTATGTATGTGAGTCGGTCGAGTCGCGTGTTTTTATTTTTTTTTCATTTTTTAGGTAGTTGAGCCGACCTTCCACGTGTCAGCATGAGATTGAATTCCACAAGCAGCCCTGCATGCGGAATTCTGATGTAATAATGTTTCTTTTATTTCAGGCCCTTTGTGTAAGCTATATTTTGATAGTTTTTTATAATGTTATGTTTTCAAACCGTTGAAATAAGCATTTTCATATTGTTTTTGGATATGTGGCAGTTTTCTAGCTATAGTCTGACTTTTCATTAAAAAAATATAAAATCGTAATAGTGACCACATCTTTTTTGAATAACCGATTATTTTTCAACAGTTTATTAATTAGTTGCAGTTGCGCTAAACAAAACCTTAATTGGTACATCATTTCAATATTATCTCAATATTAATACTATTCATTACTATCTAATTCATACATATCTAACCCATATGTAATCTTTTTTGGTGGTGTCGTGTTTTTGTTGCCACAACATATATCACATAATTTTTTATCTTTTTACATTTTTATGTAAAAAATTTACACGCATACCACATAATCCTGATGTATTTACATAAATACCTACACCTAAATTTTGATATTTACACTCATAATGTATTGGCGTCACTAGGCCTGTTTGGGGCAGCTGCAGATTGTTGAATAATCTACTGATGAACTGATTAAAAATAATATGTCGATAAGCTAGGTGTGGTGACTATTACAAACTTTTATTTTTTTTTGGAAAAGACATATCACAACCAGAAAATTGTCACCGCACCTAGATAGATGCAGTGCGAAAACATTATTTTCAGCATTTTGAACACGCATAAGTTGCCAAAAAACAGTTTACTCAAATAGGTCAAGTGCGTTTTCAAAACGCAACCGCACCAAATAAGTTGCCCCAAACGGGCCATAAATTATGCATTAAAAATATATTCATTTTTAAAAGACGATAAATATAATATTTTCTAATGTGATGTTAGAGATTTAGGTATGCATATAAATATGAATATTCAGGTGTTAGATATATAAATACATAAAAATTTTATGCTATGCACTTAAATGCCACATATAATATTTTAAATTTTATATTTTTATTTAAAATTTTTTGGTGTAATAAATTTATAAATGATAAGATATTTTATTTAAAAAAAATTATTAATGATAATAATTTTATTTGATATTAAATTTTTAAATGCAATGCATGTGATTATTAAATTGTGTTAGATACCTAAATATATAAAAATGCCTCTTTTTATGATCGAAAAGTTAATTTACATTCAGAAAGCACAGACAAAATTTTTATACTATAAGTAAAAATCAATAATTTTATAAAAATTTTATCTTTAACCTAAACTATTTATTTGTGATATTTAAAATAAATAAAAATTTTATAAATACAATTTAAATAAAATATTTCTTATTTTATAAATATTTATATTACTAATTAAAATATAGCTTGTAATTCAATGAAAATTAATTTTTTTTCTCTCTAAGATTTTTACTTAAATAAGGGGCTGATATACCGCCAACAAATTTTTATTATCCAACACGAATCTCGATATGATATTTTAAGCATGAAAAATTTAAATCTTGATAAAAAGTCATCCAGAGCTCCGATTTCAGCAAGATTATAGTTAAACTGATCTGTTCAATGAAACAGACATAATGATATGAAAATTAGTCCAATCCAAATCAAATCAAGCTCAGATCAAGTCATTAAGTCACAGTTAGAATATTTATTAATACATTTAGAAAGTCAAACGGCTGTAAAATATGACAAGTTTACACTCAAATTAAGCGGGTCGACAAGACGAATTCAAATAGCCCAAGATCACTCAATTATAACATCATTAAAATGTAAATTAAACGCTGTATGATCGAGGGAAACTCTCCGGACCATCTGATTAAAATAGTTAATATTTCTGCATTAATTGCACCCAGAACATTATAAATATAACCTCATCTCTCTCATGAAGGAGAAAAATCTAGAGAAAGCCTGAGGTCTTGAGAAGAAACTACAGCTCAACATCACTACCGACCGTCGTTGACCACCGCCGACCTCCGTTGTCGACCGCAGTCGATCGCCGACGACCACCGCCAACCTCAAAAGACCACTGCCGGTCGTTGACTATCACCGACCGTTGTCAACCTCCACCCACCGTCATCAATCACGACCAACCAGATGTCGTTAGTCTACATTATAATTTGAAAAATATAATTACCCTTTCCCGTCTGTGGGACAAGGGATTTCTGTAATCATCAATCAATAGTGGATTTCCGCAACTGAGTTAAACCCCGTGGTTTTTCCTTAACGGGTTTTCTACATAAAAATTTATGAAGTTATCAACGTTTTTTACTATTTCATCTGTGTGTGTGTGCTGAACTTTCGTACAACGCTAAGATGATAATTTGTTATTTTACCGTCGCAAATTTTCTAACCCGCACGAAGGGCCATCATTTTCATGCTTGAAAACTGTATTATATTTTTTAAAGTAAAATTGATGATACAAATGTTTAAAACTAAGATTTAAGAGGTAGATGTGAAAATACATAGCATTTGGGGGGTACGCATGTAAATACCTTACCCCTAAATAAAATGATGCCACCTCTTCCATGCTTCAGCAAACAGCAGGATCGGTGCTAAGGGGCAGAGTTCTTTGAAAAGCTCGACGGAAACAACCCATCGCCGGCTGCTCATCCGTGCGCTCTCCTCGCCGCCAATAGTAATCGGCGAATATTAACGTTAGCGAGCCTTGGCTCTTAAACTCCTCCGGGTTATGGCAGACGAAGAGTCTTCCCCTCCTCCCCATCGCCGAGACGGAAACAAGACCTCAGGTGCGGTTCTTGCTCTTCACTCCTTCTGTCCCCTCATGAGAAATTTCTTTCATTTCAACGCTTCCCCAGCAATTTCTATGCTTACTTGTTTAACCTCGGGGATCAGCTGCAGTCTCTTGCCTATCTTAGCTAAGAACTCTAGAGGAATGGTATTAGAAGTTAAAAAAATACATGATCATCTGCATCTCTGGAGCGGTGCTTAGGTCTAATAAAGTACTGTTAATATATTACTTGCAATTTTTGTTTTATTAAGTTTTTTCCTAGAATCAGTGCTGAAGAGGGGCTTGGGGTAGATGCTTGCTATTCAAAGTTTAGCTGAGTTAAGGCTGCCTCTGCTCGTGTACTCCACAATGTTATTACTAAGGCCTACTATTATCATGTTAAAAATAGAAAAAAAGGGGGCTTTAAATAGAGTTTTAATAGCCAATGTTCAACCAAGTTAGGCTGCTCTTGGTCAAGTATGCGTGGATGTTAAGGTTGCGCCGACTATGATCTAAAGAATTTATGACATTTCCTTTCGATTCAAAATCACGTCTCAAGATGCCTCCTTTTAGCGGAACTTAAGGCATTATAAAAACATATAAGATCGAATTGATTGATTCTATCACAAAAACTTGTTTTGAAACTATATTCAGTAGAACAGTGCGAGTGATAATGTCGATCAAATGACTGACTCAAACTTAATATATAACATGATTTTTAACTCTAATAGAATCTAATGATTGTCATAAATCAATCGAGCAAAAAAATTCAAACATTTTCCATTTTTTTAATTTTAGATCCTCTAATAAACCTCAAAGTTCATTTGTATAATATCAAAATTTCATTATATACATACTTTAATGAGCCTTTTATCTTGTATCAGAATCATGCATCAAAAGATAAGACAGTTTTTTTAAAAAATGATTCTTGTTCAACATCAATTTTATCGAAATGACAATTGCAGTAATATTTGGCGATCTTATAACTCAACATGATAATGAATTCTAGAGTGGACATTAAATATTCAAGGGAATAAACTAGTATGACAAACTAGACATAAGTTGGACACGAGGAATTAAAATAATATACTTATTAATCTAGTGCAGTACCGATAATTTTTATAGTGCTTTTTTTTAAAATAATAATTAGCATAGTAATGCATGAGAGTGTGTATTGAAGAAGACTTTAAAAAAGGCATCAATTATAAAGGGAACTATGTTAGTTAGCTTATACGTGTCAATAACAAAAATTATTTTTTCCATAATATTTATTTATTCTTTTACATCAAAATATATTACTTTAGCTTTATAATATGTGATGTATGTAGATTTAGATTATTAGCAATCATAAGGTAATGCATTGTATTAGTCACACACTACATATTATAGAGTTGAAAACTTAGCTTGGAATCTATATATTGAGGACCCTTTTAACTGTATAAGAGCTTATATTTGTTGCTATATATGTACAGATAAATATAAATATATAATTTTGAGGAGATTTTTGCATCTGTATGGGCTCACCATTGCTGCTCTAATTGTACAAATTACTATAAAATATTATTGTCAACTTTTATCAAAAATATGATCTTTTCTTACACTCATTTTATTTTCATTGTTGAACATTTGAACATATATATAATTAATTTTTAACATGCAATTCAATCATGAATATTGCTCTTTAGCTTATAAGTGCAAATTGCCCTACTTATTAGCTAAATATCTTAATAAAATGATAACATACTTTGAATTGTTTAAATTTATATTTTCATAATTTAAAATGGCCCATAATCATGTAATTTTAGTTGGTAAACTTACTATAAGTTTTTATGTAAAAGATTAAAATAAATTATCTCTTTGAATTAAAAATTTAGTTTCGCACTCATTCAATGATCAAATATAGGGCAAACTTTATCTCTACAAAATTTCCTATTTTGTATCTCATTTCTAAATCAAATTAACCTATAACCTTTTATCTAAAAATAACTTTTTCTCATAAAAGCTTTGAAGCCTTGATTCGATGAAGGAATTATAAAGAAATTAGATTTCATATTAAAAAACTAATGAGGGAAAATAGTTTGAAAACATTATGAGTTATCAGTATGCATTAATACATAATTAATTGTTATTAGTCTTGCTATTACCTGGGCCAATCACGGAAAATTCTTTCATTAAAAGCCAATGCATTGCATGGTAAGTGGAACTCTAATTTGGGTGAATATTACATAAGTTCAGCTATACTAACATTAAATGAAATTAATTTATATAAGCTAATATATATGTGTATATACACACACACACATGCACCCAAAAGTAGTATTAATTTTCATGAGGTTTGAAAATTGGATATAAAAGTTAGAACTTGTTGATATTTTTACTTTTAAAAAATTTTGACTGTTACACAGAAGAAAGCTCTTTTCTGAAAAATGCAAATTTGGTATAGTGAGCTTTAGTCTAATAGTGCATAGCAATAACTGCCAAGGTTATGCAATTATCATAATCTTAATTTGATTGTCCAGGACATTAAACTTTATGTGAATCATATCAATACTTTCATAGCCTTCTCGTGATGAAATTTTTGGATAATCGCTCAACAGAAAAAAATGCTGAAAGGGATGGGTTGGACATAATGCTTTATTACATACTTGGTAGAAACATGCACTGCAATCCTTCAATGGCAATTTCAGTTTAAATTTTCATAATTTGGCTTTCCTTAAGATCTTTGGTAGATTTGGTTGAGGATTTTCCTTTTGTAAGGATTTGACCGAAGGAAATTTTTTTTCAGTTCACAATATAGCAGCACAACGGAGACGGAAGCATGCTATTACTTTGGGAAAAGAAAGAAGAGAAGTACTGATACGCACAAAACGCATGTGTAGAGAAGGGTTTGTTAATAACAATGAGGCATCTTCAGAGATTGATATGATTGTTAACGAAGAGAAAGCGTCATTAGATACTCGGACTTTCACAATTGTGGAAGATTTGAAGTCTGCTCTCCGGCTTCAGTAAGTGCTCTATCATAGGTGGTTTATTGGTTTGAACGATTTACATACATGCCAGTCAATTCCTATATAAGTACAGATCTTGCACCAAAACTTCAAATTTTACCTATATACAACTCAATTCCTATTTAAATACAGATCCTTCACCAAAACTTTAATTTTTTCCTATATACCACCTTATCTATGCACGAAAAGTTTTATTTTACATTCTAGAAGTTAAAATAGTGGTATTTTTGTTGTGATACAAAAAATTTAGGCGGTATTAATGTAAAATATCATATTTTAGGTATTAGATATGCAAATACATAGGAATTGGGCGGTATGTATGTAAATGCCCCTATTGGTTTTTACTAGGACCTATTATTGATAACTTGCCAATAGTGTCTTCACTTCTAGTTTTGTAGAATTATGGAACCTTTTCTTCTTCATATTTTAACATTGTTTGCAACCATTATTTTCTTGACAATTCCTCAAGTTCATCCTCATTTGTGTATTCCATGGTCATTTTTATCAGACTGCTGCAATACTTTAGTAACATTTTAATGAAGGGGCATTTACATACATGGCACGCAATTCTTATGTATTTACATGTCTCACACCTAAACTTCCACATTTACATACATAACACTATCACTTTGTAAAAGTGAAATACACCTTTTCATGCATATGTATGTGTGTAAATATGAAAGTTTTGTTGTGAGATATGTAAATACATAAGGATTGTGTGCTACGTATGTGAAGTTCCCTTTAATAAAAGCACTTGCTGTTACTCTAATTTTATTCATGCAATTTTTCCTGTGCCTTGCATTTCATCATTATAGTTGTAAATTTTCTTTGTCAAAATTTAGGGGAAAAGGCGCTACAGAGAGAAAGGTGGATTTGCTTCGTGCCCTGAGACATCTTCTGTCCAAGACTGAAATTCCTCCGATTGAAGCAGCTATCAGAGCTGATGTTATTCCTTCCCTTGCTCAGTGCTTGTCTTTTGGATCTGAAGATGAGCAGGTTAAAAAATTTAATAATTCCCCCGAATGATATTATAAATTTCATCATTTATTTTTGAACCTTGTGTATTTTGTGTTAAGCATGCTGCTTTATTACACATCAGTCATTGATTTTTGCAGTGTTTTAAGCATTAAAAATCTTCACCTATGCATATATTTCTTTTGAATTACTGAAGGATTTTGTTATCTTTCTTTGATCGTGCAGTTGCTTGAGGCAGCTTGGTGTCTTACCAACATTGCGGCTGGGGAGCCAGAAGAAACTAAGTCACTACTGCCTACACTGCCATTATTAATAGCCCATCTTGGAGGTTGGATGCATTCCCCAAATTTATCATTTTTCTTTTTGGGGGCATTTACATACTTTCCGCACAATTCTTATATATTTACATATCTAACACTTAAATTTT